GTCAGAAAGGTGGGTGGGAGGGTGGGTGGGAGGGCTGAGGTTAAGGGGGGGGAGGAGTCAGAAAGGTGGGTGGGAGGGCTGAGGTTAAGGGGGGGGGGGGAGGAGTCAGAAAGGTGGGTGGGAGGGTGGGAGGGCTGAGGTTAAGGGGGGGGGGGAGGAGTCAGAAAGGTGGGTGGGAGGGTGGGTGGGAGGGCTGAGGTTAAGAGGGGGGGAGGAGTCAGAAAGGTGGGTGGGAGGGTGGGTGGGAGGGTTGAGGTTAAGGGGGGGGAGGAGTCAGAAAGGTGGGTGGGAGGGTGGGTGGGAGGGCTGAGGTTAAGGGGGGGGGAGGAGTCAGAAAGGTGGGTGGGAGGGTGGGTGGGAGGGTTGAGGTTAAGGGGGGGGAGGAGTCAGAAAGGGGGGTGGGTGGGTGGGAGGGCTGAGGTTAAGGGGGGGGGGAGGAGTCAGAAAGGTGGGTGGGAGGGTGGGTGGGAGGGCTGAGGTTAAGAGGGGGGGAGGAGTCAGAAAGGTGGGTGGGAGGGTGGGTGGGAGGGCTGAGGTTAAGAGGGGGGGGAGGAGTCAGAAAGGTGGGTGGGAGGGTGGGTGGGAGGGTTGAGGTTAAGGGGGGGGAGGAGTCAGAAAGGGGGGTGGGTGGGTGGGAGGGCTGAGGTTAAGGGGGGGGGGAGGAGTCAGAAAGGTGGGTGGGAGGGTGGGTGGGAGGGCTGAGGTTAAGAGGGGGGGAGGAGTCAGAAAGGTGGGTGGGAGGGTGGGTGGGAGGGCTGAGGTTAAGGGGGGGGAGGAGTCAGAAAGGTGGGAGGGTGGGTGGGAGGGCTGAGGTTAAGGGGGGGGAGGAGTCAGAAAGGTGGGTGGGTGGGTGGGAGGGCTGAGGTTAAGGGGGGGAGGAGTCAGAAAGGTGGGTGGGTGGGTGGGAGGGCCGAGGTTAAGGGGGGGAGGAGTCAGAAAGGTGGGTGGGTGGGAGGGCCGAGGTTAAGGGGGGGAGGAGTCAGAAAGGTGGGTGGGTGGGAGGGCTGAGGTTAAGGGGGGGGAGGAGTCAGAAAGGTGGGTGGGTGGGTGGGAGGGCTGAGGTTAAGGGGGGGGAGGAGTCAGAAAGGGGGGCGTGACTTCTCCCTCTCCCCCCCCCCCCTAACCTACACATAAACCCGATCGTCTCCGAGCTGTGTACTCTACACAGATATTCTTCTGTGACTGTTCCACCTGAAGACGGAAGCTTGTGTTGCCTCCGAAGCGTCGTGATTTTATTTTTTTCTTTTGGCTTATTTCGTTTTTTTTTTACCTACGTGACTTGACCGAATAACACCAAGAGTATGAATCCTTGCAGTCACGAAAGCTTCAAATCTAGAATTGATGCAGCTACTTTGCTGTGACGGTTTCCACCTCGTAGACGGCAAGCTTGGCGCTGCCTCCGAAACGCCGCGATTCAATTTAGTTGGTTTATTTTTCTAGATTTGAAGCTTTCGTGACTGCAAGGATCCACACTCTTTGGTTCTATTGGGTAAAGTCACCACGTAGTAGGTAAAAAAATAAAACAACAAAAATCACGACGTTTCGGCCACAGCACAAGCGGCCTTCATCAGGTGAAGGGGACCGGACTCCAACGCTGTCCTCTGGACAGCACGGTCCCTTCACCTGATGAAGGCCACTTGTGTTGTGGCCGAAACGTCGTGATTTTTGTTATTTCATTTTTTACCTACTACGTGACTTTACCGAATAGAACCAAAGATAAATTTAGTTTTCTTTGGTTCTTTCGGTAAAGTCACCACGTAGAATGAGAATAAAATAATAAATTGATAAAATAAAATAACACAATAATATTCTCACGACGTTTCGGCCACAACACAAGAGGCCTTCATCAGGTGAAGGGGCGCGACTGGTTAATGGTATAGTTTTACAACATGGAGTATACTAGGGCCTCGCAGCTGTCTCTCTCCCCCTCCTCTGTTCCGACCATGGACGAACTCGTCCGTCTGAACGGGGCCCGTAGCTATCCGTGGTGCTGAAATTTGAGGCTTAAAGGCTGTGATCTGAACGTGGCTCTTTCACTCCAGCGCTGTCCTACCAGACAGTCTCGCCCCCTTCACCTGATGAAGGCCGCTTGTGTTGTGGCCGAAACGTCGTGAGAATATTATTGTGTTATTTTATTTTATCAATTTATTATTTTATTCTCATTCTACGTGGTGGTGACTTTACCGAAAGAACCAAAGAAGATGAATCCTTGCAGTCACGAAAGCTTTAAATCGAAATATAAATTTAGTTGTTTTCATTTATTTTGCCTAGCTTCAGATCTAGAATTAAGCGACACCAAATGGCAATAGCTTCAAAGAGCCTCGAGACCACCAAAGTCCGCCAGCGTGGCCTGGGATCTTCTCCAGGTGAACTCCAGACCCAGGAGGCACATTTCTCGTCATCGTCGTCATCATCGTCATCGTCGTCATCGTCGTCGTCATCATCGTCATCGTCGTCATCGTCATCGTCATCGTCGTCGTCGTCGTCATCGTCATCGTCGTCATCGTCGTCATCGTCGTCATCGTCATCGTCATCGTCGTTGTTGTTGCAGACTCTTAGAAATGTAAAAAAAACCTCATAATAAAGGTTTTTGGGTTAGATCGCGTTTATTTATAAATGTGTCGTAACCCTCCACCACCCGACACGGCCAATCAGCAAAAAAAGTGTCACGTTGACAAAAGACAAATAATTCACTACTTCAGCCCACCGGTGTGTTGAAGAGTTAATCCACATTTGCAGTTTGAGTACGACGTTTCGCTGGTAAATACTTCCAGCGTCATCGGGCAATTCGCCAGAATGGTGAAGCCCTCGCTTGCTCCCGGTTTTTATATAGAGCAGCAGGGTGACGTCATCACTTAACTCATAAAACTGTTGACGTCCGCTGGGCTAACACCGCTTGAGACGAGGCTCAAAAGAAAGCCGCCTCTGGTGTGGACCAATCAGCTTCAAGGGCAATGCGTCATCAAATATTATCAGAGTGTACGCTTTGGTTCTTTCGCTAAAGTCACGTAGGTAATCAAATAGAAAAAAATATAAGTTAATCAAATCACGACGTTTCGGAAGCAACTCAAGCCTTCGTCATCAGGTGGGATAGCCACAGCAAGAAGTAATTTGCTTTCTGGCCGCCAAGTATCATCGTTAGAATGCTGTAAACAAGATTCCCTGTATTCTTGGTTCTTTCGGTAAAGTCACTTAGAAGGGAAACAATAGAATAATAAATAAAAAATCAATAAAAATATAAAACAATACAATTCCCACGACGTTTCGACTGCAACACAAGCAGTCGAAACGTCGTGAGAATTTTATTGTTTTATATTTTTATTATTTTATTATTATTATTCTATTGTTTCCCTTCTGCGTGACTTTACAGAAAGAACCAAGAATATGAATCCCTGCAGTCACGAAAGCTTTAAATCAAAATGATTCCTTGTAAAAAGGTTTTCAGTTTGGTGTTTTAACATCTTAACACAGCTACTTTGTTGCCAGAAGAAAGGGGATAAACCTATTGTCAGTGACTTGAAGCTTTCGTGACAGCAGGAATTCACATTCTTTGGGTCTTTTGGTAAAGTCACGTAGATAAACAATAATGAAATCATATAAAAATCTGTATTTCTACCTGCCTCAGCAGTCCGCCTGCTGAATTGTTTTCCACCTGAAGACGATTGCTTGTGTTGCGATCGAAATGTCGTGATTTTTTTATTATTATTAGATTATTTTTCTATCCATCTGCGTGACTTTAACGAAAGACCCAAACAAGCAGCCTAAATATGGTGTTAATAATATACAGGGCGCTTCAATAAAATGTTAACACTTACATCGTTTAAAATTGATAAACACACGGATAATTATACACCACAAACATGATAACAAATGTAACACTAAAAGCTTCAAAAAGTCTCACCGCTTGTTCGCCAAAGTTGTCAACTCGTGCCTGGAATCTTCTTCACATTTCTCGCGGCGTGGTTGCAAACTCTCAAAAGTGTTCACATATTTTATTAAAAGCACCCTCCCTGTATGTGTGTAACGTGTGTGTGTGTCTGGGTGAGCGGTGGGTGTAGCGGTTAGCGCTACGCTGCGCTACGAACCCGGCGACCCGAGTTCGATTCCCGCTCACGGGCCAATAACAGTGACGATTATCTGAGCCGGTTCTGGGCCTCTCCTAGGTCGACTCGGCCTAAAATGATTTCCTGGTGTAGCGGTGTGTAGTAAACATCGCCACTGGGGGAGACAAAGGCGGCCGGGCGTGGTGCTGAGCACCCACCCCCTCGTGTGCCACGGTGCCGGCAGCCTTCACAGGTGCTGCTCGCTAACAGCACTTGCCCCTACAGTCTGTTAGAGGCTACACGGGGGATCTTTGTCTGTGTCTACCTTCACAGGTGCTGCTGCTACTCGCTACGAACAGCACTTGCCCCTAGAGTCTGTTAGAGGCTACACGGGGGATATTCTTAGCTCTTTCGGTAAAGTCACGTTGAAGGGAAACAATAAAATAATAAAATATTATTTTAAATATATATAAAATATAGAGAAATATATATTTTATTATTTTATTGTTTCCCTTCAACGTGACTTTACCGAAAGAGCTAAGAATATGAATTACTGCAGTCACGAAAGCTTTAAATCTAAATTTACACGGGGGATCTTTGTCTTTGTGTGTTTTACAGTCATCACCATCATCACCATCATAATCACCATCATCATTACCATCATCATCACCACCATCATCACCACCATTATCACCACCACCGTCATCATGCGTGAAACATACCCCAATGAGATGGAGAGAGAAACTCGCGGTTTTGGGCGCGGTCCTTTGCGTGGAGCCAGGAGCCACCAGGGCGTGGTCAGACCGGCGTGGGAACGGGTTTCACGCCAACCAGGGAGGGGAGGGAACCTCAGACGATTTATAGACGGACCTCTCACGTGATTGGCCCAGGGACGATACAATAGACTGAGCAGCCCTACACAATGGGAGTGCCAGAATCGGCAATGTGGGTCACAAC